ATGCATATTTACAGCCTATATTTTAAATTATCGTCTACACTTCTTGAAGAAACGTGTTCTAATTTTAACACAGGAAGGAAATTATCTACATGAAACATTCTGTATATACAACTGGGTAAACATTTCAGATTATTCTACCACGCCTGAAGTAATCAAATCCAGTTCATATGTATTCAGAGACGGCATCTAGGCATCATTTTAAGCGAGCCGAATACAGTTCACACTTTACCATCATTTTCATTCACATCTGCATCTATACCCCTCCATTCTTCCCAACTAAATTATTATTCGTATGGCTCATCCCTTCAATTTAACCACTCTCGCATCTTATTAGCGTCTGACCTTGACCAAGCCACAACAGTGTTGTTAGTCATACAACGAAAATATTCCAATATTATCCTTACTTTTGATTCCCTTCGTAAATGTATTTGGAAGATATTTATATAAAAAAAGTGATAGTGGAACCACGGTTCCGGAGACTTTGACGTAAATACGTCTATACGGAAAGGAAGTTTATATATTGGCTTTATTCTAAATATTTCCTTTATACATGCTTTACAATTGAGTAAAGTTTGATTAAGACATTGATTATTTAACTTGAATTAGTTACGCTTAAGATGGGTCTGTGGTAGCTGAATGTAATGTAAAGTAATGTAATGTAATGAAATGTTTTATAGGTAACAACAATGCCGAGTAAATAGATGACGTTTCCTTGGTAACATAACATTGCAGTTACACTTTTTCCTTTCACTTTATACCGAATGACACTGACCCGAAAATATAGACGTATTTACGTCAAAAAAATGTTTATTCTGATAACCAAATAGGACCTATAAACAGACCCTATAAGAACATAGACCCCATAAAGGGTTAAGCCGAAGACTGGAGGATGCGGACTGTGAATTTACGAGCAGAAAATCTACGAGCCCGGTACACAATTTCTAACGCGGATGAGATTTGTCGTAAACGGAAAACAAACAGTTTACATAGTACATATTTTCTGGTAGAACGGGAAGGCAAAATGTATGTGACTGTGTTCCTCGCTGAATGAGAATCTTAATTACAGAAAACAAATTGGCCTGTCCTCGGCTCCATGAATTTCCTGAGACCCTGCAACTGGTGTAATGAATAGTCGGCAGAGAGACACGATGGCTCTCAAAACATTTCTTTATTAACCAACAGCGAAAGTTCTTGTCCCGGTCGACGACATTTATTACGGGGAACAAAGTGACGACGATCATAGACTGCGTCCACTCGCGGGAAATGAACGTCGTCTGACATTTAAGACACGCTCAGGGCAAACAAGTTGTCACAGCTGTTGTATTCTAGGATTCCGAAGGATTAAACTCTACAGGTTTCGATACTAGCAGTGAAAACAAAATATCTTGGCGAAGTGATCAGCGTTCCTACTTTCCTTTTCGGGAGGTCCCGGGTTCAAATACCGACCAGTAAACCGTCCATTCTTGAATATGTTCGTGGTATTTCTCAGTCTCTTTTGGAACAGTCTGCGATATCGCAATTAAGATTTTTTCCAAATCTTACCAATAAATTATTCATTAACCAACCCATCATTCTACGATATATCATCTTATCTATTTACAGCACCGCTTAATAAAACACATAACCGAGTGATATCTTAGATTCTCACGGAGTTGGAGATAAATTTGGCCTTTTAGGCTGTAACGACGTGTAAACTTGTAGGTTGATACAAACGTTTTAAAAAATCGTAATATTTCTGACCCGCAAGATCAACCAAACCGACACAACCAATTTGAGGCCTAATCTGAATCCGATATTTTCGGGAGTGAAACATGGAGAAAAATACACGGCACTGCCATTATGTATTCACTTTGTGTGCAATGAGCAAATAGAGCGTAAATGATATTTCAGGGTTTCGCTGAACGATCTGTGAAGGGGGCAAAAAGAACCCAGTTTCTTACGAAGAGCCATCAGACACGCGAGAAACCCGAAGTCTTCAACACGTACGTCTGTACGCTAAGCCAACATCTCCTTCAAGTTAAATAAACTTTAAAACTTAAACAACAATAAGGTCAGCAGTTTCGTTCTGGGTTTCCTTGTTTTCTTAAAAGTGTTCAGTTTCCGCTAGAAGCCTTAAAGTATCACTAAAGTTTATTTCTGTCCATTTACCCATCAACAGTTTCTTTGACGTAACTTCGCACACAATTTGGAGATATCTAGTCTCCCCCTCCCCACCCACTAGTATCGATATCAAGTTCGATTCTTCAGCTTCGTAAGAACAGGCAGGGATATAATGAACAGAATCCGTCAGCAACTGGATGCAGAAAAAAATACGTCTGTGACAAGACTGTAGGAAGTTGTCTTGCACGCGACAAAACAGTTTCTAACTACAATTCAAATAATTTCTGAAGGCCGATAAATGCTACCTGCGCATATAACTTAATCGACTCTCCTCACATAAATTCAACTCTCGATACGTCAATTAAGTGTAAAATTAATTTTTGTTTACAACAAGCGTCCTACGAGTTAATCCTATCTCAATATTCTTCATGCAACGGTGAATGTCTTCAGTCAACCTACTGCTGAGTTGCCATTAACGTCCCTTCCACTACCCCCCCCCACCGCCCCTCAACGTAGGAAAAAGGCCATGAGAAAATAATCGAACTGTACCAGTCAATACTATTCTAGCTGCTGAACGAATGAGACTCTTTCAACCTGAAGTTTATTGCAGTTTAAACTTCTGCTCTATGTCCCTGTGAATAGGGACACAATCTCCATGCGGGCGTCGGTAGATGCGTCTGAATCACGTGACAAAACGAGCCACGCCTCGGGATAGGACACTCATAAGAAATATATACGCTACCGTTCCAGAGAAATTTTACACGCCCCAACTTCCGACAGCGAACGGATGAACTACGTAAAGCCTATCGCCTATTTATTTCAAAGAGAATACAAAGGCTGACCTTTCTCGTAAACTGATTTATGCGCGTGTTGATAAAACGTCTGCAACAAACATGAGGGGAATAAAAAATATGAATTTGTTTAAAGCTTGTCAGTCTAATCACAATAAAATTCCTATTAAATATTAAAATATTAAAATATTACCATAATTAACATTTAAATATTTAAAATATATTAAAATATATTAAAATGATGTTCTCTATCGAAATGTTCGATTTACATTAGAACATCACTTTTCACACGACATGTTTCAGTTCCAAATGAACTATCTTCAGGTGTATAAATTATATAAACTTAAATATAGTTTCTTAAATGCAACTTTAGTCAGATGTTTATCAGATATCAAAATGATGTTTTCTTCCAGATTTTATTGTATTTTAATATCGTATTCGAAGTTGTTCTGTATATGTACGTCGTGCTTAACATGATTTTAATATATTTTAAATATTTAAATGTTAATTATGGTAATATTTTAATATTTAATAGGAATTTTATTGTGATTAGACTGACAAGATTTAAACAAATATATATTTATCACAATATGACGCAACTTTATCATCTCAAAAAATATGAAGTTAAACATACAATTTAAAACAATTAACAGACACACGACAAATAAGACTGAACCAAGACCCAGAAGACCTCACTTATTAACTTATTAGAAACACGTGTGAACTGAAAACGTCGAGAAATAACTAAGTCTCGCGTTCCTGTATGCGTGTTACCTGTTTGACTCATCTCATCGTTTCTGAAAATTCCGTTGCGAATAGAACGAGACTGAAGATTGCAATTCTCAGAATGCGTCATTAAGCCGTACAATCGGACCCAGCGATGTGCAGTGTCTTCCAGGATTGGAAATACGCGCGACATTAAGTTATTCCCAGAACGTCTCGCTGCATCTGTGTTTCCGGCTCCCAGCCACTCGAATCGCTCCCCCGAAATCCGTCGGTTCGTATTATTGATGACCTGACAGCTCAGGTAGAATCTGCGGTGTGCGTGTTGCGTCTTACTCCCACTCAAATCGAATATAAGATCTGTCAGTCTGAAACCAGCTGCGAACATTTATTAAACTTCTTCCGACCTTCGCCATCCTGCGCATTTCGCTTGCATCTGTAACTTTATCAACGCGTAACTGAATTCTCTTTATGCGTCCTTCCAATCATACCGTCTCATTCCATTCCAGTCCATCGCACTGTTTGGAGTTTCCAGCAGGGGATGTATGCAACCGGTACAACACGGGTCCTAAATCGTCGTGTACACCAATTATTTAGAGTTGATCTCTGTAACGGTGGACTTTCGTGTTTTCTTTGCGGTACGGACTGAATTCTTAACTAATATTTGGATGAGCTTCGGCTTCAAAGGAATTATCTAGTAGGAGGGGGGGGGGGGGGGGGGGAAAAAAGGAAGGTATAACGAATCCATAAAATACACGTCATACACTATACAATATTAGAAAATTTATTTCCGGAAAATAAGAGCTACTGCTGAAATTTTAGCGCCATCGAAAGCATTGCCAAACTTCCTACTGTAAGCGAACAGAGCAGACAGAAGATTCACATAGGCTCAAAGCCACTTCCTTCAATGCCATACCTACTGTTAAATCGAAAGTAATCGACAATTATAGAATATCGATAACGGGCAATTTAATAAGAGTTTATCAAACAACATTGTTCTGTATTATGTAAATCGCCTTAGAGGGGTTCCATGTTCAGACGTCAACGTCACACACATAACATACCGGCATTTTAAGAACACAGATAAATTATTAGCATAATTTTCCATAAAATAAACACGGAGAAGTTTAATCGAAATGCCAGAGCAAACTCTTTAAATCACATTTTGCGTGAGTCTCGCAAATCTAAATACGGCCTGAATTTGTTTTCATAATAAATGCGGAACAATGAGTTTCGCTACAGGAATTAAGTGTATGAGGAAATGAATAAAGACGTAATCAGCGAACGAAAAGAACAGTCTACAAGCATTGTAACACGAAACAGGTAACTTAGCTAAAATAAGTAACTATAAAGTAACATTTTCGTGTTGCGATGGAGTCATTTTACCTTCACGCTGCCTGCGGTAAACCACCAGAATAGGAACGGAGACGCGCTTACCTGGAACAGAAAAAGAAACAAAATGGTCATGTTTCATGCTGACTTAAATTTAAAATAATAGTCAATTCTCAAGACTTCCATCACTAGCGCCATTAGAGCTACTTGATGGAGGGTCACGAAACTGTGTGTGTCTTCAAAAAACACGCAACATTTGAGTAAATGTTTATGTTGAAATCGGAGCAAGATGGTGGCCGAACAAAATTTATATTTTTCCTTTCCGTTTGCTCAACCCTTTGAAGCACGAACAGTCGTCAAGATAACACTTAAGAATTTTGTCCGTACCTCAAAGAAAACACAACCCGTCTTGAAGGTAACGGTAATTGCGAAATGCTGTTCAGGAAAATGATCGCGTTTATTCCGAGAATCGCTAGAAACTATTAAGAACTCTGTGGGCAAAATGCATGTTAAAACCTGTGGTATGTGCAGGTCCCACTGGGTTTTAAAGGGTCAAGATACCGATTGAAATATTAGTGCTGTAACAATTTCTTTTTTTAGTGTTCTGTCTGACGACAGGTCCATATGAACAGGATCCTTCCATCCTTTTCTCGGACTGGGACCTGTTCATATACGTTCTTGGCAGATGATCCAGAAGTGGTTTGCCATTCCCTTCTTCTGTGTGTGAATGGAGTAATGGTTGGGATGCCACGGAGGAAAACTCCGGGGTGCCTAGACCACGGCCTTGCCCAACACAAGTTATAAATGCGACCCCGAGACCCCAGGATTACAAGGCCAGCGTCCTAACCGCTAGACCACCGTGGCGTGTTCTTTCTGACGACAGGTCCATATGAACAGGCTCCTTCCATCCTTTTCTCGGACTGGGACCTGATCCAGAAGTGGTTTGCCATTGCCTTCTTCTGTGTGTGAATGGAGTAATTGTTGGGATGCCACGGAGGAAAACTCCGTGTTGCCTAGACCACGGCCTTGCCCAACACAAGTTATAAATTCGGGCACGGCCGGGAATCGAACCCGAGACCCCAGGACTACAAGGCCAGCGTTCTGACCGCTAGACCACCGTGACTCTGTAACATAAATATTTGATGGTAACAATTTTAAACAAGGCGAACGTGAAAAAATGTGTTCAACTGGTCCAAACGTTATAAAAGGATTCACACGCATGAAGAACACGTCACACACGTTAATGCCATAAGCATATATTTACGTATAAAAATAAATAAATTTGTGTAAACTAATGGCAGGAACATCGCAGTGACGGTGCGGGAACAACAACTCAACGCGATGATGCTGTTCTACAAATTAGCAAATAATAACGCAGCCACGAGAACGCTTGGGCGGTGAGCAGGTACGGCTGAGAGGATTAAAGCAACCGCGGTGACAAGCCGGCATATAAAGTGAACTAATAAACGTACTTTTGTTTCAAATATAAATTCCTCTTTTATTGTACCAAAAAAAAATATTGTGGAAGAGAGTGGCTTCACTGCTCCTTTCGTTGGCAAACAGACGTAACATCTCAGCAATTATACGCTGAAAACTTACTGTAGGCTTACAGGCAAATCAAATGCGATGCGTTATACTTGGAGTTAGGTTCCACCTCTGCACTGCGTACATTAGGATAATAATCCTACCCCCTTTCATTATAACAGATATCAAACACGAGACTGCGTATACAGTGTTACAGATACCCCAATGAACGGGTGTGTTTTCAAAAAAGCTCGGTCTCGATCCCACTAGTAAATAATTATTATTTATTTAGTGTTCTGTCTGACGACAGGTCCATATGAACAGGATCCTTCCATCCTTTTCTAGGACTGGGACCTGTTCATATACGTTCTTGGCAGATGATCCAGAAGTGGTTTGCCATTGCCTTCTTCTGTGTGTGAATGGAGTAATTGTTGGGATGCCACGGAGAAACCGGAGAAGCCCCCGGAGGAAAACTCC